AGGGAGCTGCAGGGGGAGGGCGGCACAGTCCATCCAGCCCTCTGCTGGCTTTGAGGGCTCCGTGCTTCTTCAGGGTATCTGGGCAGGCTATCAGAGAGAGGGAGGGAGAGACAGAGACAGAGACGGAGACAGAGACAGAGAGAGAGAGGGAGAGAGAGACAGAGAGAGAGCGAGGGAGAGAGAGAGGGAGAGAGAGAGAGGGAGAGAGATAGAGGGAAAGAGAGAGGGAGAGAGACAGACGGAAAGAGACAGAGGGAGAGGGAGAGGGAGAGACAGGCAGAAACAAAGAGAGATGGAGAGACGAGACAAAGAGACACAGAGAGAGGGAGAGACTGAGGCAGAGACAAAAAGAGATGGAGAGATAGAGGACAGAAAGAGACAGAGAGACATAGAGACAGATGGAGAAACAGACACAGAGAGAGGCAGGCCATGGGAAACAACAGTCCCCAATAAACTGTCCATGGGACAGGCGACTGTGTGTCCCAGGGAACAGGGTAGGTGAGTGGGTAGGTTAGAGGGTGGTTAATGCTGCCGATGAAGGCCTCGAGCCACAGCTCCAGGTTGGCAGGGGCCTGCCCGTGTGACCCTGCAGGAACACAAGGAGCCCTCCTGGTTCTCAGGAAGACATCTGGGAATTCCCTAGTTCCCCATCAGATTCTGGCTTGGGTTTGCAATCTGCCTTCGGCAGCACTGGTTAAGAGAGCAGAATTATGATCGGAGCTCCTAATTATGGATGCAGGGAGAAGCATGGTCAGTGTCTTCCTGCAGCCCACCCAGAGTGATTGCTTCTAAGGTGAACATCTGATACTGGACTCTGGGATGCTGAATGGAGTTCCCTTAGGCAGGCAGCCCTGTGGAACGAACGAGGCAGAGCTACAAATCCTGGACATCGTGCATATGGCCTCTAAGCTTGCAGCCCCAAGTCTTTACTAATTTCAAAGAAATAATTCAGATCTCTTGTTCACCTGGGCTTGGAGAGGCCTGTTAAAGGCCCCGAAACTGGACAGCTGCTCTGTAGTGGATGGGAAATAACTGGCTGGGTCTGGTGCCCCAGGTATTAATGCCTGTGGTGTCTGCAGTGATAGGATCAGGGTGGCTACACAAGCTGGTGGCCCCCAAGCTCTGGAGCCAGGGACTGTGGAGGTGGTCACGTGCATGACCTATGATCTGCTCTGGCCTGCTGAAGAAACCCGAGGCTGGCCGGGATCCTGGGCCCTGTTATGGAATCACTGCATACTGCTCCCCTTATCGCCTTAGTGAGGAGACTTCAGGCGATTCTGAGGACAATGCACGTGCACATTTGGGATGTGTGGGACTGAGCACCTTTGGCAGGAAGGTGAAGACCCTCATCCAGGCTCACACCTGAGCATCATCTATTTTTCCTTAGAGCAAAACCTGGGAGGAGTGAACGATTCTTTGTTTCAATTTAATTGGAACAAAGAGGATTGTCAGGATTCCTGACTAGGAGCATCTAGGAACATTTTCTTTTTTCTTTCTTTCTTCGGTTGTCATATGTCTTTGAGACTCTCCATCATTTTTGTTATTCTGAGACTTTCTCTGTTAGCAGAACACCTAGCTCAGTGCCCAGGAGAATGTTCTAGTCCAAGTGAAGGGCATGGTGGCTCTATGGAACATTCCCTGTTCCTGAAAGTGGCCCATCTGGGCTCTAACAGCAGGTGGCGGGGACCAGGGGACTTGTAAGTGAGTGGCCTCTCCATGAGGCTCCTCGTACATCAGGGCAGGAAGGTGGGCCTGAGGTGCCAGCCCTGTAGGCAGCCTGCTTGAGCTGATGCTTAGAATGTTTTTATTTGGAGGTAGCAGTCCTGTCTCCACGCAGGACAGGCTGACACCAGATCAGAGCGAAGGCCCTCCTCTGGATTTATCAGTTGGGATTCTTCCAACTGCATATGGCAGGGACTGAGCTCAGAGGCATGAACACCCAGGGGCATTGTTCTCAGGCATCTGAGCCTGGGCAGAGGTGGCTGCTGCAGGTGGCGAGGACATGGCCCCTGCTGCCCACAGCACAGGGCAGCCCCTCCGTCACTGCATCCTCACCATGGCCAGAAGGATAAGAGTAGACAAAAGCTTTCTTATGGAGGATGTGGTCATGAAGGGCCATTGTCCCCAAAGATTCCTGCTTGCCTGTCATTGAGAATGGTGTCACACGGGGTCTCAACCTGGGTCTGGCAGGGAAGAGAAGGCACACCCCAAAAGTGATGAGCAGCATCACTGAAGGTGGTTTGCAGAGATGTGGCGGGGCTCAGGGAGCCAGGGGGTGACTGAAGCCCACGCCCCATGGCTGCCGGGTTGGTATTTCCTGGGAAGGAGGGCATTATCACAGAAAGATCTTTCTTCATGGGACAGATTGGTCTTTGAGATTCCTAACATCAATTTCAACCTAATGTTCCCAACACCCTTTCTCTTTTTCCTCCTTCCTGGGGAGGTTGGTACCAGACCACCCAGGGTAATGCCCTCAAGCCTAGGTGTGGCAAGGCTGCGCTCCTCCTAGAGGCTCTGGGAGAGAACCCGCTATCTCACCTCTCCCAGCTTCTCAGGGGTTCCACGTTCCCTGGCTCATGGCCCATCCAGCCGGGTGGTGAGGACCTGCAGCCGTAGCAGCCAGGGCGCCGGGATCACCCCTGGGGCACAGGGAGAGATTCTCTCGAGTGGAGCCCAGGCTGTCAGTGGAAGGATGCTGTGTCGGAGTCCCCAAGACCCACCCCCCCCACAAGGGCTTGCTGTTTCACCAGGAAGACTGGCAGGCCCCAGCATACAGTCACACTCATGGCTACAATTTATTCCAGGGAAAGGACAAGAGGGCTGCTCAGCAGAGGGAAGGACACGTGGGGCGGAACCCAGGGGCGGCCAGGCTCCAGCTTCCAGAGCCCCTCCCGGGGGTCACGCAGGGCGAACTGAGTTCCCACAGCAGGGAGTTGTGACAGCACATGGCAAGTTGCACCAGGGAAGCCCATTAGAGATGCAGTCCCAGGGTCTTCCCTGGGCTTGTCACATAGGCACCTTCTGCCTGATCCCCAATCCCCAGCCTGCAGAAGGAAGGCAGGTATTGAGCTTCTGGTCTGGATGGACACAGGTCACCTCTCTTACCAGCTAGGGAATGGTGGGGTCTCTCCTGCAGTCCAACTTCCCAGGGCCAGCAGCCCCAGCAGCCCTCCTGGGGACAGGTCTCAGGCCTGTGGAGTAGCCCCTTTTCCATTCAGATATCCCCTGCCGGCTGCGGGGGGCGAGCAACACCGACCTTGCTCATCTCTGACCTGTGTCTCCCGCTGCCATCTCCCGCTGGCCAGGCCCAATTAGAAGCTGGATGGTTCGGGGATTGGCCTCTGAGGCTCAGAGCAGGAGGCATGGGGTGGACAGTGGCTCTGCAAGGAGCAGCAAATTGAACGCCCCAGGAACGCCAGCCACCTTTCCACTTGCCTGACTCTCCATTCAGCCAAAAGCATTTGTGGACCACTGACTGCCAGGTGCTCTTCTCGGCTCTGACGGTAGAGATTGCGATGTTGAAAGAAACTCCTGTCCATGGGAGCTGTATTCTTTTTGGTTTGTTTTGTTTTGTTTTGTTTTTAATGAGGAGAAACAAAATGAAAAATTTAGACAGTTACCTGGATCACTTCAGATAGTGATAAATGTCTGTGGAGAACATGGCATGGCCAAGAGATGGGGAGGTGGCTGACAGTGAGGAGGAGGGTTTTGTACCTCCAGTGGGCTGGGAGGGCCTGTCTGCAGGGGTGACACAACTGATGAGAAGGGGCCAGACTTGCGAAGGGTAGGGGTGTACAGAGAGGTGGTGGGCATGTGCCCTAGTGAGAGCAGCATGTGCACCCCCAGTAGGGGTGGGCATGAGCTGGCGTGTTGAGGGACAGTAGGGGAGCTGGGCAGCCCCAGCGTGGTAACCATGGTAATGGGCCAGCAGGTCAGATCAGAGAGGGGTGGCCGCATGCTGCAGAACCTTGCAGGCCACACACCAGGAGTTTGGATTTTATTCTAATTTCCTTGGAAGCCGTGGGAGGTTTCAGAGAGAGGCAAGATCTGATTTATATCCCAGAATGCTTAAGTGAGGCTGGGCTTGAGGCCTTTGAACATTATCCCCATCCAGTTTTCTTGACTAGTCAGAACATGAGACGTGGTGGTGGCTTCTAGCCACCCCTGCAGTTGAGGTCACGTGTGAGGACTGTTTAGTTCAGACAGGTCATGACATTTCCACCTGGAGCTTTTAATGCTTTTCTGAGTTGGTTAGCTGATGCATCACGCCATAGCAAAATGGCATTAGATACTCCTGAGGCATCAGACCTCTCTGCGACCTCTTAATAACAGCTTCCCCATAACCCTGTTCCTTTTACGAATGCCAAGTGGGTGTCTTCCTTTCTTCTGGTGCCATGGAAATTGTCAGGTTAAACTAATACTCTGTATGTAAAGTGTTAGAAACAGAAAGGGCCACTTATATAGCTGACAAATATGACTTTGTGACAGTCTGTTATTGAAGCTGTAATTCGCATTGTAATATTTGGGAAGGAGAGAAGAAAAAATTAAAAGTCTGTTGTTGGGCAAAAATATGCTGCACCATGAAAATTAATGGTGAATAAAGTGAAGTAACCTCTTATCAAAGAGAGGTGTGGTCTGAGAATGGACATGGTTTCTGTGGCTATTGGAGTACCCATCATTCTAATCCATATGAAGACTTGCTGCCATTTTTATACCACCTCAAAGGTAGGGGTGAAATTCTTAGACAGAATAGTTAGTATCTTGGACAATTTGTGTAACACTTTTGTATCTGTTAGGACTTTCAGTTCAAAGAGACAGAAAATGATTCAGATTGATGTAAGCAAACAATGGGTATCTATTGGCCCAAGTAACTGGAAAGGCATTGGCTTCAGGCATGGCTTGATCAAGGCGCTCGAATAACCTCATCAGATCCTGATTGTCCCTCTGCTTCTTTTGGTTCTACATCGATTTTGTTGACTCTGTTCTCTCCATCCTTGTAGGTGAAAGTAGAGCATGCTCGGCTTAAGTACACACTTGCCATCGTGACCAGAGAACGCGATTTGGCCGTGAAGGAGAAACACCAGCTCCAAGCCAAGCTGGAGAACCTAGAACAAGTCCTAAAGGTAGGGAGGGGTGCTGCACCTGCTCTCCTTTGTCAGCATGGGAGGGTGGGCTGCAGAGTTCCCGAGTGGAAAGTGCTTGAAACTCTTTTTGATGAAGGCATCATCAAAATTCAGGACTCTTGGGGCTGTTTTTACCCTTTTTATGATATAAAAAGTGATAAATAACAAAATTCAAATGTTTCTGGAAGTGATCCAGAAAAAGCAAGTATGCGTTTCCATTTCTTAGGATGTTAAACACAGCTGAGCAAGAGCTGGTGGGCAGCACCCCAGATGGAAATTGAGTTTACTTGAGGGACGATGAGAGATGTCATGACTGGTTTTTCAAACTTCATGCATTTTAAACTGTTCCTCAGATGCTGAATGACCTTTGCTACAAAAGATAGCTAAGTCAGAACAGTACTTCCTCAGGGTGCAGGGAATTGTTCCTCCTCGTGCATTTCCAATGAGCTGCAATCTCCAATATTTAATGGGGGCATTGATTTGCTACCAATGGTACTGAGTTAAACTGGGTGAATTCTTTGGCTCTCTCTCTCTTTCTGTTTTTGAGTGTTAAAATTTTATTGGAGTCTCATAGGAAAAAATTTAAAACATAAGAGAATAAAATAATCACCTGCAGTCCTCCAACGTGATGCCTATGTCATCTTGCTGGGGGCATTACACAGGCACAGACATGGAGCCGCCTGTACTGCAGCCCCTGCCTCCTCCACCAGGACGTGGTCTTAATTCCCTCCAGAGCTCATTTGGGGGGAACAGTTGGAATTTGAGAGAAGCAGGCTATGGTTGGAGGCCTGGGGTGAGTAGGATACAGGGTTTCTTTGGGGCTGTGAAATGCTCTTGGGAATACAACCTTGTGAGTTCACAGAAACTTGTGAGTGCACACTTTAAGAGGGTGAGTTTTATGGCGTGTGAACTGCATCTCAGTTTAAAAATACAGATACCCTGTTCTCCCAGCAGTGGCCCTGGAGGCAACCAGGCTCGTCATGTGGCTCCCAACAGGGCTGGACAAGGCCCAGCGCTGGGGGCTCACTGAGATGTGCTCACTTCTCCAAGGGCAGGGCCGAGTCTGACTCTGACTATACTGCTTTTCCCCCTTAGCTCACAGATTTAGAACATAACCCTAAAGAAATGAGATTCCTCCACCCCCTGCCCCCCAGGAATATTCATTTCAGCAACCACCTGGATCAATGACTGTGAGTTCTCTGACTGTGCAAACGGTGACCCATCAAGGCTCCCCCTTCAGTGCTTGGGACAAAGTAGGTGATAGGCGGACCAGTGGAAGATGGGCTGCCCTGGGCATGTCAGGGGCTTTGCTGCAGGACTGCTGGGTTACAGTAATTATGAAGCACAGCATGGAGCAGGGGTTCTCAGTGGGGTGACTTTGCCCTCCAGGGGACGTTTTTGACGGGTATGGCTTGGGCGGGCTTTTGCCATCTAGTGGACGGAGGCCAGGGATGCCTACGATGCCCAGTACAGTCTGAGACAAGGAATCGAGCAGCCCCAAATGTCAGCAGCGCCAAGGTTGAGAAACCCCCGGGTTCATTGGCTATGGGTGCTGTACCACGTTGCCACAGACTGGAACAGCACCAGTTCATCTCTCACAGTCTGGGTCGGAGGCCCAGAGCAAGCCTGCAGGGCTGCAGCCGGGGTGTCAGCAGGGCTGCCTTCGTTCTGCAGGCTTTAGGGCCGCTGTCCCTTGCCTTGTCCCTCCTGTGGCTGCTCATGGCCTCTTCTGCTACCTGCTGAGTCAGCAATTTGACATCTCTTCTCTCTGGGCTTCTGGCTCCCTCTGATAAGGACTCTGTGATGTGCTGACCACTGGACAGCCTCCCCATCTCGACCTCCTGGACTGAATCCCATCTGCAGAGTCCCCTTTAAATACCACATGTTCAGAGGTCCCAGTGACTGGGAGGTGGACATTCTGGAGGCCATTACTTGGCCTGCCCCACCCTAGAGTATTCTGAGATGACCCATGACATGGATCCGCTCTGGGCAGAAGACAGGGTATAAAGCAGACAGTGTGATGCTCACAGTGGCCATGGTATCTGCTCGCCTGAACATCCAGTGACTGCCATTCACTGAGTTGGATGGCCTCCACCTGACACCAGCTTCCAAGTCTTTTGGGGGCAAAGGGGACATGCCATCCAGGAAACTAAGAACATGTGCGGTTTGCTGACGTGGTGTAATTACAGCCCTGGCGCTGTGCCAGCGTGCATTCAGTCTGAATGGACAATCAGTTTCTTGATCACGTTCGTATGTTGGCTTTTTGTTTCCAAATATCACTGATATACCACTTGTCTCAATACTGATAATTCAATTTAGCTAAAGACACTGTAGACTTTTCTCTAATGGTCTGTAATTGCTTATGTAAATAAGGAGTCCACCCACACCGATTCTTTTCCAAGGCCCTTACCGCCCAGTGAGGGGCTGTTACGTACTTTGTAAGAACAGCCAGAAAAGTGTGGCCATTTATACTGAATTTAAGAGGAAGTGCATTCCCAGATGCTCCTCCCACGGCCTCCTGCAATTTCTCTGGGAAAAACCAACTGAATCTTCACCTAAAGACACACTCATGCAGTGCTATTTATTGAGCACCTCGTATGTGCTGGCCACATTCTAGGTGCTGGAGAAAAGTCACCCAACCCATGCCCTTGATGCTGGCAGAGAGTTAATGACAAATCAACATACGTATCAGGTAGTGACAGGTTTTGTGGGGGGATAAAGGGTGATGAAGTGCTCTCTTACGTGTGGTGGTTGGGGGAGGCCTCACTGATAATGCCACATTTCAACAGGGACCTGGGTGACGGGAGGGGTCCTGAGGCAGAGGGGTGGGCAGCTGGCTCGTTCGACCAACAGCAGGGAGGCCAGTGTTGCCAGAATAGAAAGAAGATGAAGTCAGGAGGCCAGAGGAGCCAGATCACTGAAGGTCTTGAGGCTGGGTCTGTGCCCCACTCAGCCACCCTGCCTCCCTTCAGGCTTCTCGTGGGGTCTTCGCATGTGCTGTCTTTGCCACGTGGGTTGCTTTTGTCCTGTCACCCCCAGGATACTGTAAGCATGACATGGGCAGGCTCCATACCTTTGTGGCTTATCAGTAAATCCCCGGTGTCCCCACCAGATACCTGCATAGCAAGACCACAGAAAGTGTTTGTGGGCTGAATGAAAGAGTGACAACACAGAATATTCATCAGTCTGTTCAGTGATATTAGTCACTGCTAAGCCACCTGTTTACAGTGGCCAAGAGCATGAGGCTGCCAGCTTTGCAGAGGCCTGCTGGGACACACAACCTGAGACCTAGAGTCTATTCCATGCACGGCAGCCATAACCACCTTCATAAAACAAAACTTGCATCCTGTCCCTATGCTACTTACACCCACCAATTATTTCTTGTTTCCCAGATTAAAATCTAGACTCTACTGCAGGGCTCTGTGCTCTTTGCCCCTGCTTCTCCCTTCCACCCTGACTCCCACCATAACACCCTTGTATTCTGCACCAGCTACACGGCCTTGTCTGTCTTTGTGGATCATACCACATGTGCATGCACCCCAGGGCCTTTGCACTCACTCTTTCTCCCACCTGGAATGCTGTTTACCTCAGCATGTTGTATTTCTGGCTCCCGGTCAGCCAGGTCTTGGTTTCTTGTTGTTCCTTGGTGACACCATTCCTGACCATCTGATTGTAAGGAGCCACCATTCCTCCAGTCACTATCACATTTTATGCCATTTTCTTATAAAAACAACAACACATGATTTGTTTGGTTTAGTTTTTCACTTGTGTACTGTAAATAAGGAAACTGAGGCCCAGAGAGGCCGACTCCTCTCCCCAGAGCACAGAGCTTACATGTTGTGGGCATGCATTTGTGGCAGGTCTGGCTGACTGTACGCTCAGGCCAGGCTGTGGGGATCACAGGGGCAGGATGAAAATTGCACCCTGTTCCTGACGGATGCCCTATTCCTGGGTTTTTGTAACCCATCAGGGTCAGATGAGAAAGAAGGTGACTGGCCCAGCAGATTAAAGAAAACTCAGGAATCAGGAAAGTTCCAGGATTTTGTAAAAGGGGCTCCTAAATTCCTACTTATTTCTAGTGTGAGCACCTGAGATACTTTGGCTAAAATATATGTCAGCTTCCAGACATGGCACATCTAACTCATTATGAATGGCTCCCCTAGATGGGGCAGGAAGTCAGAGGACATGGAGAACAGACAGCTTTAATGTCTCCTCTTTCCTGTGTCTGAACTCAGCACGTGCCTGTGTTCTTTCCAGCCGATGCTGCATAGGAGCAAACCTCACACAGAAATGCTCCCTTATTTCCATGGCGCGTACTGGCTCCCATGCATGTGATGCAAACAGTATTGCTGCTAACACCTCCTAAGGGAGATCACTTCTTCCTTAATTTCTTTGTCCAGGCAGGACAGGATCCAGAGCAGAAGACAAATCTCCTTTTGATTTAACGTTAAGGAGAGAATTCAGTTGGTTCCATGCTTGCTCCCTCCGTGTCACCTCTGAGCTTTCCCTGGGAAGCAGCATCTTGACATTTGTAGGCTACTTAAGTGCTGGTGTTAATGTCGACATCCAGCTATAAATATCACCGCCCTAAAAATAAACCCTGCCCCAGGCAGAGCATTTAGACTGGTATTTTTTGCTGTGGTGTGTAATCCTTAGTACTTTTCAGATGTGGAATGTTTCCGTGGAATGTGGCATGTGCCCTTGCAGTCAGGAAGACATTTGAAAAAGGAAGTGGAAACCAAATATTAGAAATTTGGCAGAAGTGGTCTTGGGGTGAATGCTGGAGTTTTTAGACCCTATGAGAAGGCATGGGCCCCTAGTGCTCCCAGGGACAGCCAGACACGTGAGGATTTGTGGAAGTTATAAGAATGATTATGGGAATCACCTACCAGGAGAAATGCGGATGGCTCTTTTCAGTGGCCCCACGGCATGCCCCTAGCTTCGTGGCTGTGGGAGAGCATGTTCAGTGGCCCGAGAACTCCAGAGGATTCTCATTTCAG